ACACACTAGACACACACCTCAACTCAACACAACATCACCTCAACACACCCTCGACTGACTGTGACACACTAGACACACACCTCAACTCAACACAACATCATCTCAACACACCCTCAACTGACCGTGACACACTAGACACACACCTCAACCCAACACAAACATGACCTCAACGCACACTGAACTGAACATCCTGTACTTAACAGACTTGAAATCCCATTCGAATAGCCGAAAATAACCAGACAGTAGTTCAAAGTAAAATGTCAACTGAAAATTGTTTATTTATTCAGCACTGGGAGGAACCTGTGTGACATGAAACAGTCACCAGCACCCCTCAACAGGCAGGAAGGTCCAGAGCACTCGTTTATGGGCTGGTGTCTGATTAAACAGAGAGAAGAAAACCCTTATATGCCATAGTGTGAAATCTTTCAATCTTTGTTGCCTGTTGCTAGGCTACCACCCTGAGCTGACCCAGGGTCCCATGTCTTTATATTATTTCCTTTGTTGTTAAACTGCTTGATGCCGATTACTCTTAAAAGAGCTCACAGAAGCCACTAGAAAGTGGACAATGTCTAGCGCAAAGCCCAATTTGGATCTCACATATGACAAAACAAAGCAAAAACACAAACCAACCTATGATGACTTTTGCTGATGAACATTCATGCTTATAAAAGTAATTCGCTATTGTTTTGCGAATGCATAGATACGTTTCCATTCCTTAACACCTCAGCAGAGCATCACCTCAACACGCCTTCATCCGACCTTAACACATGTCACACACACACACCTCAACACAGCCCCATCTGATCTTTACATATCTCACACACTTTCAAGTGACCTCAGCATCACCTCAACACGCCTTCATCTGACCTTAACACACGTCACACACACACACCTCAACACAGCCCAATCTGATCTTAACATATCTCCCACGGCTCAACACGTCACATCTCCACACACTTTCAACTGACCTCAGCATCGCCTCAACACGCCCTCATCCGACCTTAACACACGTCATACACATACCTCAACACAGCCCCATCTGATCTTTACATATCTCACACACTTTCAAGTGACCTCAGCATCACCTCAACACGCCTTCATCCGACCTTAACACACGTCACACACACACACCTCAACACAGCCCAATCTGATCTTAACATATCTCCCACGGCTCAACACGTCACATCTCCAAACACTTTCAACTGACCTCAACGCACCTTCATCTTCAACATAAGTTAACATGCATCTTTATAGAACCTATCCATGCTCCTGATACAGTTTTTCAATAGTATTGACATCACCAATAAGACCATGAAGAATGTCAGTGCTCGATAGAAAATATCTCTGCACACAACCCCACAGCTGGGAGGGTTAAGTGAACATGGTCACAGTCTGTGGAGCATCAGATGTTTAAAGGGTGATTATGTCAATAGTGCTGTGCATTCTCAACCACACCTCTTCTCCCTTCATCCAGTTTCTAACCATTTTATCCAGTGAAGAATCATGGGAGAGCTGGAGCCTATCCCAGCAAGCAATGGGCACAAGGTGGGATACACCCTGGGCAGGACACCAGTCCATTAACAGGGCATACAGACTGTCACACCAGGGCAACTCTACCCAGAAGCCATTTAAACCATCAGCATGTCTTTGGACTGTGGGAGGAAACCCACACCCCCATGGGGAGAACATGCAAACTCCACACAGACAGCACCCCAGGAATTGAATCCAGGGCCCCAATACTGCAAGGTAGCAATGCTGCCCACTTCACCACTGTGCCACCCTATTCTTCTTCTCAAATATTAATAACAAGACAATTAAAAGCTGGTGATTAAGAAGTAGCAGAATTAGGATATGAATAACAGGATTCAAAACAAGATCAGGGGAAATGATAACAATTCCTTATAGGGGAAACTGCAAGAGTGGCAGTGATTTTACCTCCTAATAGTGTGAACATACTCATCTTTCACACATGCCTGCACAGGCACTTACACATTAGTGAGTAGCTGTGTCCCATCAAGCCAGCGCCACCTAGCACTGCCGTTACTGCTCAGCCCAATCCAGTACCGAAAACCAGTCACAGTTACCTCACGGAGCATCTCCTGCAAAGCCAATAGAGAAACAGTTCTCCTCATCTGCCAGAACAGAAAAAAGACATTTTCTTAGCTGGGAAGATTGGAGCGAGTGAGAGCTCAGGAGGTGCAGTGTGAGATCTCAGGAGGAGCAGAGTGAGAGCGCAGGAGGTTCAATATGAGAGCTCAGGAAGAGCAGAGTGAGCTCAGGAGGTTCAGTATGAGAGCTCAGGAGGAGCAGAGTGAGAGCTCAGGAGGTTCA